TGACTTCAAAATCTAGCACCTAGCCCAATATCTGACACATAGGGAGCACTCAATAAATATTTACCAAAACATTAACCATGTCTTATGTCAATTTTTACTTCATATGATACCTTACTAGTAGCCTTGGCACAAGTGGAGATTTAACAAATATCCAGAAAGTCATCTACTGCTTGATTACTCAGAGCTGAAAAATGCCTCCACTAAATAACATCAACAGACTTAAGGAACATAAGATTGCTCCAATACCTTTCGTGCCCCCAGAGCAGTGCATGCATAGAGAAAATCTTCTGGTATTGATTGACACTAAATTTGAACTCACCTGAAGTGTTGACCCTTGCTATTTCCTTGTAGGTAAAATAAACTTGTGTTGACCAAATCTCTACTTGTATCTAAAATATCATTTCCTCAAAAACTATCGCAGCTTTCTCCAGCATCCTATTTTAACCATATCCTCCAAATACTAAGAATCTAAAACCAAAGAAATAAGAATGCATGGGGTAGAGGAGGGGCAGAAATTTTCCAGAGGCAGCTAACAAGCCCCTACCCAGGAATCTATTCCCTAGACAGCTGTCAGGTAGTGCTCTGCTGGAAGTCCCACCTGGAACAGCAGATGTGTTAAACAGCCTCCCAGTTTTGATCTGTACATCAGGCTTGTGCACAGCACCGTTGGCAAAGCCATTTTAACATAGCATTATGTTCATGTAGACTAAAAAACAAGCTGCTAAAATGTGAGCTCTTTTTAGTTGATCAAAAATGTGAAAAATAAATTCCTCTCTTCAACCCCGAATTATCCCCACATCCCTGAGACACACACCACGGGCATAGAGTTAGAGGAGCAGTCAGCTTCCCATGGGGGCTGCAATCATGTCCAGGTAGCCCACTGCACACAGTACACAACGACCAGGCAATACATGATGTGTAAGTAATGAATGCAGAGCTTTCTTGTAAAGGAAACACAACAAATACCAGGTTGCTGTTAGGCCAGCCATCCCACAGACGGCAGTCCAGGCAACAGCAGATAACACAGCCACAGCGCCAGGAGTGAACGTCCCTTCACATTCAATGAGCTTGTCCTCATCGAGCACAAAAACTGAGCACAGTTACCGTGATTTATATGCAGAGACTTTTGTTTCAGGAAAGTTTTCCCTTAAGATTTTATTTAATATTAATTTATATTCATATACATTTATTATAATTATTATGTATTAATATTTAATAAAGTAATTTTATTTAAAATAATTCTTGAGAAATCATTGTCATAAAGTTTTTATCAAAGATAAATCTGATCATTGCTTTCCCACAAGAGCCATCCCTGAATGTAAGAATTCTCAGAAGCTTTAGGTAAAAGAAGGGCATATGACAGTAAAAGAGACAGTGTGTCACATTCCCTCTGAGCCTTGTCATCTTTAAGTTAAGGCTGTTTTCCTTTCTTAGCTATAATGTTGTTACTAAAATCTGAAAACAGATAAATTTCTTAATTAAGCCTTTAGGATTCATATATGCTAGTTGTTATTTGTTCGTGTTTATTCATCTATTTATTTTAGTGAGAAACTAATCATAAAAAAACTAAGCAATACTGATTTAGCATACAATACTTTGTTATCACCACAGCATGATATGTGGAAAGCCTTATAAATATCAAGGACTACACAAGTGGATTATTAGAGATGTTTAGGGATTGTACGAAGTCTAATCATTATGTTGAAGATTTCCCAACAAGCTATGACCTAGATCCTAAAGATGATTATGCTAATTCTTTCTTTCAGGCCACAGTTGGGTAAATTATGGTTTTTGTTTATTCAACCACCAGTTATTGCACAATTACTTGGTGCCAGGGACTAGAGATTCAGTGGCAAGCAAGCTCTCACACAGCTTCCAGTCAAAGGCAGAAAAGAGGGAATTGAACAAAGAGGTCCACATGGAAGTGCTATTACCCAGAACTGGGGAGTCAGGGGACGTACCCCACGAATTGATAAAAACAAAAGCCTGAAAGATGAAGACCTGAGCATAGGAGGGTCTAATACAGAGATGCAGGCGTGAGCCCAAAGGCAGACACCCCAGAGTTTTGGGACATAAGCACATTTAGAGTAGTGAAGTCACATCGTGTGGGGCCTTGTAAATTATGTTTGAAACTATAAGGTTTATCCAAAAGCCAGTGGGAAGCCACTGAACAGATGTAAGCAGGCAAGTAGCACCATCAGATCTGCGTGTAAGAAAGCTCACTCTGGCTGTCACATGACCAGTGGGTTGGAGGGGGCAGGTGCAGAAGCAAGAAGCCCAATGGGCAGAGGGAAGGGCAAGTGTCGTGTCTGGGAAGGTGGGGAAATATTAAGAAGGTAAAACCAACAGAACTTGGTGAGTTAATACCTTTGGTCCTCTGTGAAGCTTTAGCTCTGAAAATTCTGCTGTTTCTTTCAGAGGAGAGAAAAGACTACTATCAGATAACAAACAACTCAGCTTAACGGGGAAAAAAATGTTCTTCTACCGCACACATAATAAAATTTCAAATCCTTAGAATCTAGTTTCTTGAGCAGTTTTACTACTACCATTTACCATACCAACCTCAATAACTGTCAGGTCAGGATCAACAAAAGTGCCTTAAAAGTATTGCCCTCCCCCCTGAAGATGGTGAGCTCCTCATCATAAGCAGCAAGCAGAGTGCTCAGCACACAGAGCTCAATAAATGTTAGGTTAGTGGAAATGAAGTGTAATTCGGGATGTGATTAGGTCAAATGTGTCAAGCCTACTGAAACTACCTAGCATAAAAATAGGTCTCCTGTGCTACATTTTATTTAGAGAACAAATGACAGCAGAAAATTGAACTAATCTTCTGAATGGAAATATAAAGTAGGGTAACCATTGAAAAGCAGCTGGAAGAAATGCTTAAGAGAGATGTTTAGCTATACCATCTAGACACTGATGACTATGAGATAAAAATAACAGGTAAATAGGCACACAAGGAGAACTGAGCTGATTGAGTCTAGGTGTGAAGGATGGCTCAGGAAATGAGAAAGACCCATAAATAGCCAGAGTTCCCACAAGTAAGGACAGAATCCACTTGTTCCCGGTCCAAGGGGAAGCAGGTTACAAATTACAGCAGTACTGGCTCTTGACTGGAAATTAAATGGGTGGTATGTTAGTCTTCTGGTGATCGCATCTGCAGTCTGTTCTAATAGCCATGGTTTTACTTGCCTTAAGATGTGGAGATTTGAACTTGTTTCAGATCATATTTCCGTTTCCAGGTCCTATGTAGTACAATGGCTGATACATGATAGAGTCAGGAGAGGTAATCAGTGAACATTAAATGAATGTTTGAATGAATGAATGAATGAATTCATTAAAGTGTTTAGGTGCTCTCTTATTATCTTTGTTTCCATTTCTTCTTAAACATATATGATGAACTCTTTCCAGCTGGAACACTACATTCTTTCGGTAGGATAGGAAAACAGAGTAAAAATTAAACCCTCCATTACTTTTCTCAAGGATCCAACCATTCTAATTCTCCCTTTCCATTTCTTTGCTCCATATAACACATACACACGTCCTTATAATCATATGCATTAAAAAAATTTATAAACGTTGGGTACTGTAAACTTTAGTGTTCCTCTTTTACAAATCTGTGATGGCCACCTCCTTTTGCCCTTGACCACAGGACCCTCATTTGATAGCCCATGCATATGCCTTCATGGCTAACCCTGGCCAAGAATCCCATTGCAGCTGCATGTATGCTTTTCATTGTTCATCTTCTTTATCTTCATCATGATTATTCACATTTCCATGATCAAACAACACCTACCCATTTGTGTCCAAGGGATCACATTTTCCTTTTCTGCAGTTTTTAGATGGCAAATTTCCCAGGGTACATAACTGACTATAATTTGCGTTTTCATTTTTAGTTTTCTGCAGTCCTGTCTCCCAAAGTTTCTACCATTTTCATCACTAACAAGCTTTTCCTCCTCATTTAGAATGAGCATCAGAATCAAAGTGCTCTCATTGTTTTCTCTGTTTCTGGAAATGAAATTGTTAATGAAGCAGAGAATTAATCAGCTGCCCTGCTTTTTAGTAAGATGTCCCTTCCAGGAGCTATCTAGTTCAATTTCTCCATCACTAATCCTACAACCTGCCTTGACATCCATTTCCTAATTTGCATCAGGAAACCATTGGCCATGTCCCCTATTTGGCAGGAAGCCCCTACTATATTCTCTCAACACCCCACTTCTGATTCTGCTTCTTTTGGCTCTACTCTAAAAACTCTATCTATTCATCCATCATGAGGTCATTAGATTTGCCAAAAGATGCACACCATACAATCCCCACACTACCCCACACCCCCTCTTATTAGAAATACCATGTTATCTACATCAACTTTTTATTTTTCCCTTCATCATAAGTGTCTTTGTCTAATAGAGGTAATATACTTGCTCAATTGACTTACCTAAATAGGCAAACTTATAGCTATAAAATTATTTTTAGAAAAACCTACAATGTCAGCATAATAATTGGCAGAATGTTTCCCATAGAGGTGGCACGAGAAGTTGCACTAATACCATAGTTGACCTCAAACACAGAGATACATTACGTACCATACGTTAAAATCATCGTTATGTTTGGGCACCTGGGTGGCTAGGTTGGTTAAGTGACTGCCTTCGGCTCGGGTCATGATCCTGGAGTCCCGGGATCGAGTCCCGCATCGGCCTCCCTGCTCAGCAGGGAGTCTGCTTCTCCCTCTGACCCTCTTCCCTCTCGTGCTATCTCTCATTCTCTCTCTCTCAAATAGATAAATAAAATCTTTTTTAAAAAATATCATGGTTATGTTTTTGATCTTTAAAATCAAATAGCCAGCATAAGAAACCCCGAAACCTAACCAAAGGATCATTTAATTCCAACGTGGCTAAGGAAATGGAGGACAATAAATAGCTAGCCGACCTTAAGATCAACTTGTTTAATTTTTTACTCATTCATCAAACTGACGATGAATGTTTAAGTCAAAGGGTACTTACAAGAGCATTGCCATCAGTCGCCATGTATACTGTCAAATTGGTAGAAACAAAAGCTAGAAAAGAAAAAAAGATTCTAAGTTAAATGTGGGATTAAAGTGTTCATAAAAGCATGTATCTCTTTGACAGGAGGAAAGGCATTTCTATTTGATTGATGAATTTCACAATAAAAGCAATTCACTAAATGGCTTTTTAACACAGAATTCAATAAGCCAACATTTAAAACTGAGTTCATAAAATAAGCCAGAATTTCATCTGCACATTGGTTAGTATCCTTTCAAGTCTACAGCGAGACATGCACATTATTAACATACTTAATATTGTGTTACATATAAACAAGTATCTTTGAAAAACAAAACTGTTTTCCTCTCCATGATGAACAACACAGTGTAAGATGTGGAAATATTTTGATCCATTACTATTATTCTGATTGTATTAACGAAACGATTTCAAAAATGTAACTAATCCCTTTGCCTCAAAAGTCCCAACTTGAGTATGAAGATGAGCCCCTTTTGATGTATTGCACTTTGTAGTGGATTACCTGATAGACAAGATGTTCTGTGGTTTCAAGAAAAGCAGATGAAAACAAAAGCTCAAATTTTCAGAATTTGACAAGCAAAGAAACTTGTTAAACATCCACCAGCCACTGAAACTCTTCCCAACACAGAGAGACTTTCAATCTCTTTCAGTGACACCAGAGATACAGATCCATGGTCTGTGTGTGACTTTATTCCTTATACCAATGGTTCCGAAATCTCAAAGAATGGATCCCCCTTTTTAATGTCAAAAATATCATATCCACATTATGTAGGTATGAGTAAAACACTTATTTATAAAATACCAAAGAGAAAAACCATAGTAAAAAAAAAAAGATTCATAAATTTAATTGCTTATTTTTATTTATTTAAAAGAATAGACTAGGGGCGCCTGGGTGGCTCAGTTGGTTATGTCGGCCTTCAGCTCAGGTCATGAATCCCAAAGTCCCGGGATCGAGTCCCGCATCAGGCTCCCAGCTCAGCGGGGACTCAGCTTCTCCCTCTGCCCTTCACCCCACTCTAGCTCTCTCTCACTCACTCTCTGTCAAATAAATAAATAAAATCTTTAAAAAAATAATAAGTAAATAAATAAAATAATAGACTAAAGCCTAAGTAAAAATCAAATCACAAGCTGGTGAAAATACCTGCAATATATACTTAATACATAAGAATCATTTAAAAAATGGGCAGAAGACATGAATAGATGTTTTTCCAAAGAAGACATACAGATGGCATGAAAAGTTGCTGAACATCACTGATCATCAAGGAAATACAAATCAAAACCACAATGAGACTTCACCTCACACCTGTCAGAACGGCTAAAATCAACAACACAAGAAACAACAGGTGTTGGCGAGGATATGGAGAAAGGGGAACGCTTGCACTGTTGGTGGAAAGGCAAACTGGTGTAGCCATTCTGGAAAACAGTTTGGAATTTCCTCAAAAAGTTAAAAATAGAATTACCTTATGATCCAGCAATTGCACTACTAGATATTTACCCAAAGAATACAAAAATTCTAATTCAAAGGGACACATGCACCCCAATGTTATACAGCATTATCTACAATAGCCAAATTATGGAAACAGCCCAAGTGCCCATGAATGGATCAGGAAGATGTGGTTTACACAACAGAATATTACTCAGCCATCAAAAAGAATGACATCTTGCCATTTGCAACAACATGGATGGAACTAGAGTGTATTATGATAAGCAAAATAATAAGTCAGAGAAAGACAAATACCATCTAATTCCACTCATATGTGGAATTTAATAAACAAAACAAACAAGCAAAGGGGGAAAAAAACAGACGGGGAGGCATACCAAGCAACAGACTCTTAACTATAGAAACCAAACTGGTGGTCACCAGAGGGGAAGTGAGTATGGAGATGGGTAAAATAGGTGATGGGGATTAAGGAGGGCACTTGTGGTGATGAGCACCGGTGATGTATGGAAGTGTTAAATTAACATATTTTACAACTGAAACTAATATAACACTGCATGTTAACTGCCTGGAATTAAAATAAAAACTTTTTAAAAAATCATAATATAAAGAGTTCTTACACACCAATAAGAAAATAATAAGCAAACTAATAGAAAAACAGGTGAAAAAATTTCAAAGAATAAAAATACATATGACTGAAGTTTAACCTCATTAACAATAAAATAAGTGCAAAATAAAACAAGATTCCATTTTTAATCTTCAAGATTAGCACACACACAAAAATTACGTGATAGAAGTCACATTTGGTGGAGGTGTGCTGAAAAGAATGCGCTGTTTTTGAAATGTCAAATTATTACAGCCTAGCTGGAGGGTGATTTTTCAAGATGATGATGATGACAATCAGTGACCACCAACATTTGCTGAGTCTTTACTATCCTCTATCAACTATACTACACACTACCACACTAAACATGCAGAGTTTTATAATATATCCTTAGTGAAAAAAGTAGGTAAAAACATGTGCAGGGTGATCCCATTCATCTTTTATCATAAAAGTATAGGTTTATATACATACATCTCATATATCAGTGCATTGGGGGGAAATGTCTGAAGATATTTACAGCAAAATGTGTACAGTAATCATCTATGAGAATCAGACTAACCAATAACGTATTGTTTATTCCCTTATGTATTTATTTCCTACAATAAGTATTTATTTATAAAATAAAATAAATATTTTATTGACTTATTATAGCAATGTATTTTTAAGTTCTATTGATTGAGCAAATACATAATAAGTAAAAGCTGGTTTGAACTCAGCAGCGCTTTTAAGTAAAGAAGTTGTAAACTTGTAAAACTTAAGAGCAAAGCTCTGGGTTGGTCTGAACTGGATTTAAATCTCAGGTTAGCAATTTACTATGTAATCGTGGGCAAGTAACAGATATTTTGGGACCTCAGGACTCTCATCTGCGAAATGGGCATAGTAATAGTATTTCCTTCTTAAGGCCAGACAAAAATGAAGTTAGAAAATATCTTTATAATACTCAGAGCAGTACCTAACATGTAATAAATATTCAATAAATTATTTTATTGTCTTAAACATATTTATTTCTTTAGCCCAAACTTATTAAAATAAAGGTTAGCTATATATACCCTTTAAATATGATATAAAATATTGCTGTGTAACTTCCTGACTCAGAGGGCTAATCATCCCCTCCCCTAGAACAATAGAACAGCTAAATTTGTTGTATTTATTAAGCCACTACTACGTCCTCTGCCAACTGATGATTTTCATGTATCACGCCATATGATTATTAGAACCACCTATGAATAATCCCCTATTATTACTCCCATGTCTTAGATGAGACAATGTAGGAAACTTAGAGGAGGAAGTTAGTAAATCGATATTTCCAAATCCAAGCCCAGACTCCACAGCCTTCTCTCTTAATGGCAGGGTACCACCCTCGCTCCCCCAAAGTCTCCGACAGGACATCATTCATAATTAACCCCTCAATGGCCATTTGGTATTTTATGTACCATGATGCTGTGGACAGGTCTCCCTCGTTGGACAATGAGAATATCAAAGGTAGAGGCCATGACCTAGTCTTCTTCATGCCCCAGGCCCTATCCAAGTGAAGCACACAGTTTAGGCAAGAGTTGTCAAAATGATTTTTTTTAAAGAATAGATCACTCCATCAGAAAACTATTATTTCAGTGAGATTCTGAATCCCTTTGCTCAGCCAGCTTTCTAATAGTAAAATAAGTAGAACTGACAGAAGATGATGGAAGACAAAAAGAAAAAAATTCATCTCTAATTTTCCACTAAGCATTGGGGTTTGTTGACAATACACTGCTCTAGTCACAGATATTAAGTTTTCCTTTGATCATGTGGAATATTTCCCTTGTACATATTGTATCCCTTAACCTCCTAACAATCTCTTAGGTGTGTTCACTCTGTCTACACCCATTGCAACCACTGTTGTCAAAGGTACCTCTCTCTTGGACCATTGCAGAAACATCCCAGCTGATGTCCTGGTTTGCTTTCTTGCCCAGAGCAATGTTTTTCAATGCACATTTAACTACTCATCTCTTTCCACAGATCTTATGAGAGATCAATCCCCTTTTGTATGCTCTGATAGCACGTTGTCTTTTATTCATAGAAGTTCTCATAATTGTACTGAATTATTAATGTTATAATTAGTTCTTTCATATCTGACTCCCCACTATAATATAACTTACCTGAGGGCAGGCACTGTGTCATACTTTGTTCACTTGTCTACTGCTGTATCCCCAGTCTTTGTACACAGGGTGATTCAGTAGACATTTGTTGAGTAAATGAATTAAAAATACAAACCAGTAAAAACACTAAACTCTAGATGAGTTTCCATAAACAAAACCTATGAATTCCAAATTTTTTTGTTTAGGGGAATAGTGCTGTCAGGAATATCCCTCTAGAATTCTCCTTCCCAATCTGCAGGATATGGAAATGAGACTGTCAATGTCAGATTTCTCTGAGTCAAAGAGCAAATGCGTAGAAACAATATGTAATCAGTGGTATGGACAGGGAAGAAGAAAGGGAAGGGGGGTATGTAGGCATGGATGTGCCATTGTAGAGGCTATTCTGTGACTGTTTACTTAATAATTTAGAGTTTCAGTACTTTATTTCTTGAAGTAGTGAACATACATGAAATTGAAAATTTCACCAAAATGATTCAAAGATAATTTGGGGCAGAAGAATCATCAAAACAATTTAAACTCAACTGTTGCCTCTCTTCTTCCATAAAAAGCACATAGCCATAATCCAAAAGAATTAAGAAGTGAAATAGTGGTCATGGAGGCTAATGTAAATATGTTTGCTTATTGTTTAGATAATGAGAACCAGCTCAGCTAACCATGATACAGCATACTTTTTATCTATATATTGATAAGCTAAATATGTAGCTCCAAGATTTTGATAAAAAATATTTATAAGCACACAATGAAAGCAGTTAATGAAAAATAATAATGACTCTGACAAAAGTATTTTGAAAGTAATAATTTTGCCTTATTCCCAACGCTGAGAATATCAGTTTAAGCAAG